CTAACTTTCCTCTTGTATAATAAGAACATAAATCTGATTCAAGGATGACAAAGGTTGCATCATCAATACTTGACTCTTGGCTTGAGAATAAGAATTATTCAATCCTGTGAGGAATTGAAAAATCCTGTGTTTCTGAATGTGCTCAGTAAATATCCTTGAGGTCTCATAATTGCAGGTAAGAGAAGGAATTAAGGCATCAAATTCATCCCACAGATCACTATTGGATTGGTTATAAGTCTACCATACTCTACCATACTGTAGAGAAAAGAATGCATGTTCATCCGGACAATGAGAAGGAAGGTCAAACCAAATCCGGTGTCAACACTTGACTAACCGAAGGACCTAACTAGCTTCAACCGAGTTTTTGGTAGGGTAGGAATCATTTAGAGAAATAAGTTAATAGAGTGAGAAAAGTGATCTCCTTATGTAGATGAAAAGTGCGAACACTGTTCTCCTTGTCAAACTTATCCTTCAAATTCTCCCAAACCTTTTGTGAATCTGAGGCTTACGCAATGCCAGTTAGCAACTCCTTCGAGACTGTCACGCCCCGAGCAACCCCCGAGACGCGGACACGGGACCTAGGACCACAAGTGATCCCAAGCTAATCCTGCTGGCATGATAATGAGCATACTAAATATAATCTGAATAATAGAAACTGTGCGGAAGCTAAATCATAAATAAGATGAAAAGATGGGGACTACCCATATACTATAACTGAGATATATGATAACTGATGAGTTTAATACAAAGAAGATATCAACTCAATACTAAGCTGAATCTAACTATGTCTGAATTAAGCCTCTAAACTGACTAGAAATGTTGGGACATGCCCCAACTAGATCTAGCAAAACTGAAACTAAAGACTAAAAGCAGTAAGGATAAACATGTCACTAGTCCTCGAAGAATGAGGACTCACCACTAATGTTGCTGAACTGGAGATCGGGAACCGATCTAAGCGTGATCTGGATGATGAGAACTTGAACCTACATCACGAGAAGATGTAGCGCACGTGTGCGTCAGTACTTGAGAGGTACTGAGCATGCAGGATAGAGTAAAGCTGAAATAACATATAACTGAACAAAGCAATAAAGCAATGAAATCATCTGAACATGATATTGATACTGAAATACTGAATACTGAGCTAACTGATGCAATGACCAAATTTATAACATGCTGAGACTGAATACTGACTGTACTGAAATATGGTCAATGCAAAAGAGTCTGACTGAACTGTGGGAGCTACTAATAACCGACATAAAACCACATGAGCTAAATGTGGAGTCCGATGTATACGCCCCATCAAGAGGACCCAATATACCCTGCCAGAGGTATAGAGGCATGCTGGCGTGATCACTAAACTGATGTTGCCCACAGAGGGGACTTACACCTACGTGGCTCGTAGTTCTGGGACTATATGGGTACGCTGAACCCTAGTCCAACTCGGTATTATGCTACTCCCAATGAATTAAGTAGTTAACTGGTTATGACTGAATTTCTGTAAATACTGGATAGCTCGAAACTGAACATGCAAACTGAGAATGCAACAATTAATCTTATAATGATGCATTCATAAAGTGAGGCATGTATAACTTAATACTGAAATATCTGACCTAGCATGTGTAATTCAAGAACTAAAGAAATACATAGCTAGAGTTCTGAAATTCATGCGATAAACTGAACAATAACATGATAATCTGATTTGGAACATGTTAGTATCTAATTCATGATGATCTGTTGTAATTCTAGAAACCCTAGGTCTATTCATAATAAGGGAATCAAGAAACTGACTGAATTCTAGGGACCTAATGGGCGAAAGGAACCCACTAGTGAAACTCCACATACTTGGTGACGAATTCCACGGAGAAATCTTTCGATTTCAGGGCTGGAACTGAAGGAACCTTGCTGCGTTCTTGAACTAGGGTTCTTGACCTTATTCTCCTTCTTGATTCTAATTTTCTAAGTTTTGATTAATGATTTTGACTAAGGTAAGTTCTAATTATGTTTCTAGGTTTAAATTGACTAAAACCTCATGATTTAGGGTCAAAACGACGTATCTTAAGGGTTAAACGAAATAGAAAAAGACCAAAAGACCCCTGAATTAGCTGTTGTCGGAGTGACTAACGGACGGGACTGACGGGCCGCCATTCAATCGAAGGTCCATCGATTGGGTCCGTCGATCGAGTCTGCCCGACAGGGCTTCACTAAAATAAGCATAACTTTTTACTCGGAGTTTGGAATTTAGCAAACTCGGTGGAGTTGGAAAGATAATTCAATTATCTATCTAACCATAGGTTATGGGACACATAATTCATTTTGTGCTAAGAGTTATGACCATCTGAAGTTGACCCATCAACAATTTTCAGCTAACTGGCTGCTAATCCTCATCTACGGTCAGACCTACGGACCATGGATCGATTGACGGTCCGTGCTGGTCGACCGTAGTTTGTGTTAGAGGTTGGGTAAGAGAAGTCTCAATCCACGGACACAGAACACGGACCGTGGTTTGATCTACTGATCGTGGGTCTATTCGTGAGTCGGGACTTAGCCAAATTTTCTGACTGAGTTCTGGGGAAGTTTTCTGTCACGAACCACGGACCTGTAGGACGGACCGTGAGTCCATCTACGGTCTGTGGATGGTGTCCGTGAGTGCCACCTGTAACACCAGAAATCTGAAATCTCTATTTTCGGATACGGGGTGTTACAGAGACTACGTTCATGATCCAGGATAATACAATGGCATTACACCTTTCCCATCGTTTCAACAATACTCCAGTATATGAGGATTTTGCACAACTACCATCAACAAAACCGAGTTTATTCTTTCCAAGTAAAGCTATCTTCATGTATCTGCTCCATAAGGTGTAATTCTCAGTGCCGTTCAATTGCAGAGCAATCAGGGTAATTCTGGGGGTATTTGTAGATTGGAGAAATATCGGATCATTGTGATCAATAGGAGGCACTGAAGTATCAGCCATTGATGAAGATTGATGCTTAGATCCAGAAAAAATAAATAGAGGATCATTTACTCGAATAGTAATGAAAGAGAGAGACGATTGCGGAAGTGTATATATGCGATTGTAAGCTCTGATACCATGTAAACTTCAGCTACCATGGATTACTCCATGGATTTAGAGTTGGAATAGTGCAGAAGCTTTTAGAGAAATCAGTTTAGAGAAGAAGATGAAAGCTTTGTATTGCACTGAAATTGTATCTACAACAATGATCTACAAGTCTATTTATACAGTAGTTTCTAACCAACTAATAACTGCTCTACTTATTATCATGACTAGCTAACACTAACTAATTATAAGTTAGTTATAACATCCTAACTAACTGCCATGTCACTAGCCTCAATAAACATTAGAGAACCAAAGATTTATTTACTACGAAAATTAAGCAAAGTTGCAGTTGGAGAGTGAAATAAAAACAATAAATGTATTCATTTTTATTGTGATATTTTAATAAAATTGAGATTTATGTATCTTACCTAGCCGATAAACTCCTTTGGTTTTAATAGATGGAGTTCGTTAATTTCTGTATTTTGAGACACTATATTCCTACATTAAAAATGTAATCTACCTTTTTTTGAAGTGTGTAGCTCTTGAGGTAAGTTCTTTCTAATTACATTATTTTTTCATAATTCTTGTCAAATTTAATGGAGATAGTTGGATAAATATTTTATGGAAGATCAAAATTATTTTATTTTTGGCAATGTTGAAGAATCAAGACGATTAAGTGCATAGTTAACACTATTTTGAAGAGAAAATGACATAAATAGTCCCTTAACTATAGTAGTAGGTCTAAAATGGTCCTTTAACTATACACTTAACGGATTTAGTCCTTTAATTATTCAAAAACTTATCAGCTTTGGTCCCTTAACTATACACTTACCGGTTTTAGTCCCTTAACTATAAACTTACTGATTTTAGTCCTTTAAGTATTCAAAAACTTATCAGGTTTAGTCTTTGTCCATTTTTTTAATACAAATAGCTGAGGTTTATATTGATGGAATCCACGTCTCAAGAAATTAAATCCTTTAGCAACTTTTTCTATTGTTTCTCTCTCTCCGATACTTTTTCTTCAAATTAACCTTATGCGAAGAACCTTAATCTCAACGATTTAAAAGAAAATTCACGAGAAAATAAAATATAAGTCATAATTTTATTCAACAGAGGATAAAATGAATCATATTATTGCTACTAATGACTTGAATATGCTAAACCTTATTATAAAAAGAAATTTTTTTTATTTCCCATTAAATCCAAAGTTTGTACTCCAACGACTTCATTGAACAGAATTTGTTTAATTTTTCAGAAATTGAAATTTATAAAATGGTAGATTTGCAATTTTTTTTTAAATAGATTAATTTTATTATTCTATTCATTTTATTTTACATAAAGAAATTTGAGTAAATTAAATAAAATGTGCACTGATTATCATATTCAAGTGCGGATTCAAGTCATTAATAACAATTATATGCTTAATTTTATTCTCCATTGAATAAAATTAGGACTTATATCTTCTTTCCTCGTTAATTTTAATTTTGAATCATTGACGTTATTGTTCTTTTCATAAGAGTAGTTTGAAGAAAAAAGGACGGGATAGAGAAACAACTTAAAAAATTAATTAAAGATTTAATTTCACGAAGATTTCGATTAATATAAATCTAAGCTATTTGTATTAAAAAATGGACAAAGACCAAACCTAATAAGTTGTTGAATACTTAAAGGACTAAAATTGGTAAGTTTATAGTTAAGAGACTTATAAAACTGGTAAGTGTATAATTAAGAGACTAAAGCTAATAAATTTTTAAATAGTTAAAGAACTAAATCCGTTAAGTGTATAGTTAAGAAACCATTTTAAACCTACTTCTATAGTTAAAATTTTCTCCCATTTTGAACATGCCTTTAAATATAAAAATTCATTTTCTTAAATATACTTTTAGTATCCCATCTTTGTCATTTTTTTTCTCTAAAAATAAGGGACTTGTTAGAAAAGACAGCAATTGGAAGGAAATCAGAGAGAAAGATGGATCCTCCTCATTCGCACACACAGTTACTGAATAGCTGGCGTGGTGCCAAATTTATTTGGCGTGCTGTTCTCATCTTCAATCTCGGCCTCGGTGGTAAAATCCTAAACCTCACTGCTCTATTTTGCCTTTCGTATTACAAGTTTCATGCATTTCTGTATAGGGGTTTTAACTTTTATTGGCAGAAAAATGTGTTTCCACTTGATATTGCTATCTACTGTGCAAAAGTTGTATGTGTGTAGGTGGAGTATGTTTTATTTCTGGACATTGTTTCTTGTTGGTTTTGGTTTAGTGGGAGTAATAATTTTGGCACAGTTTTCTAAGAGATGTTGATATGTGCTTAATCTGCTTGCTTATATGAATATGAAAGAATTTGATTTGAGCTCTGGGTTGCATTTTGTTGTGCATATCATGTATTGGATGATAAATAATGTGGTTGTGTTTAATTTTTTCTTGCCTTGAGGAGACACAATGTTTTATGACTTATGGGAGTGAAAGTTAACAAGCTCCAAATGTTGCTTATTTCCGTTGATTCATGATCCTGTGTTTGCAAATATGGATTTTGACATAGTAGCCTGAATGGAATAATTGCTTCTTCGTATCCATTCAGAAACATGCTACTTGTAACTTATGTTTAGATCCTTACTTTATTACAGAAGGAATTCGGGCCATTTAGTTTTTTGGGATCCAGTCGTTTCGTCTAGAAGATAAAAAAGGAAATTCACTTCACTTAAGTTACCCTTTGTGCTTGTCTACGTAAATGAGTTCTTCGAGGTGAGTGTTGCAGATTTAGAGGATTGACAGTGTTTCTGTTTAACCTTGTGTCTATGTAAATGAGTTCTTTGAGATGAGTTGTGTTTCTGTTTAACTTTAATCCTACTATGCCGGATTTTCTCCCTTGAAAACCTTGAGTTGGACTTGTGATTTTCTAGACATATCCTCTTCAATTTCTTTGAGTTAATGTTGTTTCATTGATACTTGATTCAATTATCAGAATTAGAGTTCTGCTCCTATTATTATTGATGCAAATTAGGTCTTGGCTAATTCTGTGAATTAGAGCATACATGCAACGTTTAATCGTGGAAGACGAGGCAACGGCATGACCTATTGATAAGAATAAATGCAATGGATAAATTGACACGTCGACTTCTTAGTTCTTGTTCTTGGGCAATGAGTTACCATGCAGCGGTCTGAACCTATAGGTGGATTCACTTCTCCACCTGACCTTATTTCAGTTTATGACGTAGATACTTTGCTTACTTACTATTTTATAAGGGAAAAACATTTTTATTGACTCAACCTTTGTAGTACACCCTTCAAATGCTTTTCCCCCCTCACTGAAGTGTAACATTTTAGTTTTAATCTTTAAGTATGGAGCCATCCTCCTGTTTAAAAAAGTGTGGAGCCGTCTATCTAAAATGCTCCATATCAAGTATGTCATGGAAGGTGGCATTAACTTGCCTTCCAATTCCTGCTAGCATTTTACGTAAAATTGTCATTCTGTACATGTTCTAATGGCTCAGATTCCTTGACTTCCTAATAAATTGACAATTATTTCTACTTTTGCAGCTTGCCTCTTTACAAGACCTGCTAAGAAGGAAAAAAAAGCTATCACTAGACAACCCATTACTCCAGCTGAGATTACTACTCCCACTCCACCCGCTCCTCAAAATTTTGAACCCATCTTTTCTCCTATTCCAGAACCTGTGAAGGTGCCAGAGCCCCTTTCTGTAAAGCAGCAACGCAGTGTTTTTGGATGGATGCTAAAAGAGAAAGAGGATGGTCAAACCTCAAAACCGAGAGGAGAAGAAGATTATCAATGAAGAAAATGCTCTACTGAAGCAGTTCATACGAGCAGATTACACCCTTGAAGATCTGATGTAACGTAAATGTTTCTTGATTCAAAATTTTCTTAAGCTGCTTACCATCATTTATGACTTGACATATTTTTTTTGTTACCTTCAATCTAATTGATGCTGTTACTTTTTGAGTAGGCAATATAGATAATAGATGGTTTGGTACAGTAGAATTTTTTATTGCTAGTGGAGGAAACTAATGGAGTTTCACGACTGTTTCGTTTATTCAAATGAACTTTTTCTTACTGCACTTCATAAGATGGTCATTTGTGTTGATTTCATGAGTTATCAAAATTCTTTAGTTGTTTATTCTTGTTAGTTGATAGGAATATTTATAAAATGTGAACTTTTTTCTTGACCTATTTGGTTACCAAACAACAGATGCACACCAAATATACACTTTCCATGTCAAATTTTGTCTTAAACCAGGAAAAAAGAAATTCACAAACCAACTTCCTTCAAACCCTACTGTCCAGAAAAAAATAGAAAAACAACTAGCCATAGCATAAAAAAAATAACATCAATGTGGACGCTCAATGTTGGACCAAAAGTATATGTTCATTTATAATCTCTAGTTGCAACTGGCCAATCTAGTATTCCAAGCACTTTCTTATACTGTTCAGTATTTCTCAAGTTCTCATATTGCTTTATCACAACCCTGAGGCTAATCACTTAAAAGCTTTTTACACTCTCAGTGTATTGCAGTTTTGGCAGTTTGAATGCTAACCTTTTTCTTATTCTACTTTTGTTTAATGATTTGCCAACCTAAATCTTGCTTTTGTTGCATAATCCTCAAAACACACCCATGCGACATTCTTGCCTACCCGAAACCCCACTACCCGGATGAGAACAAAAAGTATTTGCATATGACAATACTGATTCATAAGTTTTTGCATGCTTGTGTGTATGTTAGCACTGGGTTTTGGATAGTGGTTTGTTTTGCCATTCTGTTGACAAAGGTGGATCCAAGATTTAAATATTAAAGGTTCCTACTGCAATCCATATGATTTACTGTATCCAAAGTCTACTATTTGTACTAGTGTAGTGAATTTTTGTTAACACATCTGAGCCAAAGTTACAGGGTTTGGATGAACCGATAACTATTGCACAACATCCCATTTGTTCTTGGATTTCTGTGCAGAATGTTTTGCCGCCTGACATTGTTATATACTGTGCAAAAGCTGTATGTGGATGGATCGTTATGTTTACTGTCGGTACTTGGTCAGCCACCTTGTTATTTTTGGCCATTATTTCTTATCTGGTGTAGTAAGAATATGAAGTTTATTACAGTTATATAAGAGCTTAATGCTCTGTCCTTGGATAACTGCCCAAAATCTGTTCTTTCGGATGAGAATGAAAGAAATTCAATAGGACTTTGTGTATCATAGTCAAGGTGCATTTTATAGTTCATAGCATGTATCAGATGATGAATAAATATAGTAGTAGTTGATTTGAGTATATTCTTGACAAGGCGGACATGTTTTGCTGATTTCAGATTGATTCATGATCCCTTTTCTACAGATATGGACAGAGTAGTTTTGACACAAAGTAGTTGATTCTTGCTATCCATTCAGTAATCAGTATTAACATGCAACTCTAGTATAAATATGTTTAGATTTTCTTTATTACAGAACTCAAAAGGAATTTGGGCCTTTAATTTATTGGATTTCAAGTTGAGCTTTTCATGGAATATGAATGAATTCTTCACAATGAATATTGCAAATTTAGAAAATTGGTGGTGTTTCTGCTGTGTTTTAATCTGAACTTGAATAATTAACCAGTGATTTAACAGACACATATTGGTAACAGTTCTCAGAAATGACTTCACCTTTCTTTTTTTTTTTTTTTTGATTTTGCACCGGGTGTCCGAGTCTCTTTGAGCCCCGACTAATCCCGGGGGTGCACAGGCCCTCGGCAAGGAGTTTCCCGCAAGTGCACCACGGTTAATTCAGGTTTTACCCAGTCCGATGGCCCTCAGAAATTGTTTGCACCTAGTGGGTTTCGAACTTGAGACCTTGAAAGGGAGCAAACCCCAAGGCTCAAGTCAATTGCCAGCAGGCCAACCCCTGAGGGTTCACTTCATCTTTCTTTGTTTCATGGGTATTTGATTCAATGATCAGAATTGGATAATTATTTAGACAGACGCTGAGTTCGGCTACTATTTTATTCAGTAAAAAATTAGGTCCAAATCTAGTGCGGCAAAATGAGCCCATATTTTGGTAACCCGCCCATATTTTAATGGGTTGGGTAAAATATGGGTTGATACCCATATAATCAACCCATAAAAATATAGGTAAAATATGGGTACAATATGGATTTGCCAAATGAGTTAAGTTTCTAACTTTTATTCACTCAAAATTCATGATATCACTAAAAATATTGTAACTTCTCTTCCTTTTTCTCTATAATTGAAAAGGTGAAGTCTTTGGCCCTCCAAAAGTATATATTTTAAATATACATTTCTTTTGTTAATAAAATTATATTTTTTTATTTGTTTAATTTTATATTGGATGATAAATAATAGTGTAAAATAAGCAAATCATGTATTAGTATTGACATTGTAAAATGCATTAAGCATGTTTTAGTCCTAAAATGCAAATATTCATTTATTTTGAAATTAAAAATATTTTCCCCTTGTTATTGCATAAATTTATTTTATATTGAAAAGTTATAGGATTTTTTTTTTACTTTTATGATACAATAAAACTAAATGGAGCATTTTCAACATTTTTCATCCAAAAAAAAGACAAAAATATCTTCTCCTTGTTGAATTTTTAAGTAGAGTACTATTTACTCATGAAAATATGGGTAAACTAGTATTTTACCCAACCCATTTGTTATCCAATCTATTTTACTCATATCAAATATGGGCGGGTTGAATTATTACCCATTTTATGTTGACCCATTTTCAACCTTCCTAAGTGGAGTTTGGAGCGGGTAAGATGTATGCAAACTTTATATCTGTCTTTATAGGATAGAAAAGTTATTTATAACAAGTGTAACAACAAATATTATTACACATGAAAGAGAAAAAAAATAAAGAAAGATAAAGGAAGAGGAAAAAACTAGGGAATACATAAATCATACTACTAGAAGTACGATAACACTTGACTAATCTACCACTACTCTTATATTCTAATCCTCAATTTATATACCTTCTTATCATGTCCTTAATCAATTAAAGTTGTGTGATATCCTGTCTAATCACCTCTCAAATTCTTTTTAGCATATAATTTCTTCTTAAAATCAGTTTTATTTGGACCTAATTCATATCCTACTACATTAAGAGGCATTATCCATGATATGATTTGATACATAATTATTTTTTGTGGTTAGTGGTCCGGATTAAAGGAATCGCCTTCCTGGTTTGTTAGACGACGAAATGATCGTTTTGTTACTACATTTCGTAAAATAATTATTTGTGTTTGATATTTCACAAGTTATCAATATTGAAGTCAACGGGCGGATTAGATTAAATTTAAGTAGGGTAAAATAAGTTGAATATTTAGTAGGCATTTGGCTATATTTTTGTGAAAATATAAAAAAATAGTTTTTATTTTTAAAGTGACAAATATATTCGGAAATTGGAGTTGTGCTTGCTATAAAATAGATTAAAGTTTTGTTTTAGAATTTTTATGAATAATGTGGAGTGAAAAAAGTGAAAAATGTTATATCATATTTGTTTTATAGTGAATGTCTATTATGTGGAGTTTGTTAGAGAAAAGTTAGAAATCCTACGTGGAGATCAAGTCAACTTTCCCCTATAAATAAATATGTTTTCTTCATTGTAAATCAGATCTGTGAATCCCTAAATATCATTCAAAAGGAATAAGAAGTTTTATCTCTTCTCCCTACTTTATTCTACTTGTTGTTTTATATAATTTGATAACACATTATCAACACGAATTTCTAACCAATTGAGTTTGATTTAATATGTCCGTTTCAGATTAGTAGAAAATTTATGAAGTTTGGTGCACAACTGGTAACTGATGTTGTTCGGTTTAATAAGTGGGTGAGTGTATGTCAATAGGTATGCTTGTAATTCTTAATGAAGTTTGTGTTTTATTAAGATATATTATAAAAGATTAGAATAGCCACCACAAATAAAGTAGTACGAATCTTTTACTTTTTATTCTTGATTTAATATTATTATTGTTACTTGTTAGTAATGTAACTAATTTTCCACTTGGCAAGTCTTCTGATTCGGATTGTCAGAAGACTTGTCAAGTGGAAATAATTTTAGAAGCTCGAGGCTGAATCCTATTGCACTTTGACATATTACCTTATTGGTTGAGGGTGACATATTATGTCATTGGTTGAGGGTAAGACGATAGATTCAAGTCCTATCACGTCAAAAGGATAAGACATGGGGTTAAAAGTTTTGATGCATCATAAGATTTTGAATTCATATCCCATCAATTTATGGCCTAAGACACATTTATATTGTAAAGACATTTGATTAAGTCTCAATGCACTATATTGATGACATATTGACTATTAAAGCAAACAATGTGCTTCAGTCATGAAACCTATTTCATTGAAATCACTTCATTCCCTCAAGTGAATATGATAGCAGTGCATAATATGTCTGAAAGAAGAAAAGTGATTGAATAATGCACATGAATGTGGAATGAGGTACTACGATATCATAAGATGATATGCTCAGGTGAATGTGTTCCGTTCATGAAGAATAAGAACTTTTAATAAATGCTAAAAATATAGATCCATTCTCTGAAGTGAATGAGGTGTAAGACCACCATGCTAAGCATGGAAAAGGTCGTGACCTTGGTCGTGCAATTGAGGCGCATTGCTAGTAAATAGGGCTGGACATAAACACCGAAAAACCAAAATATCGAATCGAACCAAATTATTTTGGTATTTCGGTTTCGGTATTTCAGTTTTTGGTTCGATATATGTTTTTATATTTTTTGGTATTTCGATATGTAATTTTTGTATTATTCGATATTTTGATTTACCAAAATATATTATATTATAATATATATTAATATTATATTAATTATTAATATTAAATAATAAATATTATAATTTAAATTTAAAAGCAAAATTAGGTCAA